CCCCCCCCCTCACGTACATATCCTCATGATAAGTGCAAGCGGCATCCCATTGAAGGGACAAACAATCTCTAAATGTGGATGGATTTAACGTCAGATATATCGCCAGGTTCTCTCCTCTGGCTGAAGGGTCAGTCCCAACAGTTGAATGTTAGCCCATCCTTGTTCAACCAATACAACATATTGAGAGAGAGTGACTTGTACAAGTGTGATGATGTATATATTACGAATTGTTGGGTATGAAAATGAAGGGGCGGTGGGTGGTTGGGTGGTTAATGGTGGGTGTAGGAGGGGAATGAGGGGTATATGGGGGGATAAACGCGTAGTGGCGTCTCGTGGCCGACGACGTGGCGCGTATATTCTCTCGCGAGGGTATCTATCTCCTATCCGAATGCGTATACTATCCCCTGGATAAACGGTGGAGACAGACACGGACAATGGAATCAAGCTGGAACAATGCGAGAATAATTTAGAATGGCATATAGATGTTGGGTGGTTGGAGGTGGTGGCACACGTTAGCTTTTGGTAAAGCTCAACGGGGTTGGTGGGTGGTATGCACCATTCCTCCACCCATCCGCCATTTGGGAACATAATGGAGATAGTAGAATAGGAGCAATAGGACACAGCCCAACTATACACCTTCACTGTGCTCCTCTCAGGGGGAGACGTGTCAGCCCTTTAACGTGGACTCCTGGGTAGGACGGCAAACACAGCTATTAATTTTCACACCAGTCTCATATTTTCAAACCTGGGGGCTGTCTCGAGGTGATACTGTACCCCGGGATCCTATGGTTTATCATCAGAGTTGGTCAAAATTTTAATAGTTTCATTTATTTTATTTGGTATATGGATGGAGGAAGGGGGTGTAAACTCCAAGTGATAAATTAGGTGGTTAGGCGTCACAGTTTTCACCCGCAGATCTACCCAACCCCATGGGTAATCTACATGTCTCCGTCCCTCTGTTATACCCCCAAAAGGTCTCATGAATTATCAGAGTCCATTGTTGGAGTGTTTCACAATAAAATCTCAATAACACGCGTTGAAAACCGTCAGAACAGTTACTTCTACATAAATCCAATTAATGTTTGATAAATTGATGTGAATTTTCGAGGAATCAGTAATATCGAATATCGAATATCGAACATCAAATACAGAATAGATAAAATGTTATAAGGACAATGCGGATGACCCTTGTAGAAATATTACGGTAGTAAATTCGAAACGCTACGGCGCATAATAATCTCCTAGAAACGATGAATGGGCACTTATGGAACGTTTAATAAAGTGTCGACGGTGGGTTTACTATATCTATGTCGTGGATGTGTTTCCCTGTCGGGAATTACGAGGGTTGGAATTGTCGGTGGAAATGGGGTGGCGAGGTCGCACAACCCCCGCTGATGCATTCCTAGAATTTCTTTCTGCTCGAGTCATCAGTGAAAATATTCAGAAACATTTATAACTCTTATTAATCCCATCAAGCCAGAAATATTCACTCCCTCCCACTTTAACAATAATAATCCAATAATTTAATATATCACATGATTGCAGATGATTAACAAATTGGAAATAATTACCTCGAATTTTAAATATTATTTCTCGCAATTATTTCCATCAGACCACTCATCGGCTGTTTGAATTCCCAAAGGATTCTTCAGTCCACTATTTTTCTCTCTCGAATCAATACTCGCCTCAAACATAGTACAATTTTTTTTTTTTTTTTCAAATACATGAACTCACGAAACCCACACAGCTTTTCACCCTTAATGATTATAAATCAACTGCCCCACTCGAGTATCAGATACTTGAAAACACCGGGTAGAGAGTGGCCCACCACTGGTCAGTCAGAAATACCCTCAATTTAACTCATAAAAACATTTTTCTCTCGTTTCAATTCGCGAGTTTGAGCTATTGACTTGCCTCTAAAATGTATTAATAAGTGAAAGAGTATGAAAGGAGCTTTTGTAAAGGCGAATGTAGTCTGTATTTACGGTATTCCCGCGTGAAATGGGGCCCTGGGCTTTGACTCCAGGGATATCAGTTCACCCTTGCTAAATCCCTTATTAACTTTTTCTCGTATCGAAATACACTCGAGTACTCGAGGCGTCTCGATTTCCCCAACCCAAATCATTCCCCGGGGATTTCATTTGCCGAAGGGATTATTAAAAGAATATATCTGCAATGACAATTGACAGTTCTGTCAATTGAGAGTAAAAAATGAAAACTGAGAATTCACGAGGAATTCCCCTGGATTTCCGAAAAATGAAAAGAACGATGAGAATTCCAATCCCCAAAGTCCATGTCGTGGCTTTCAATCCCGCACAATCCTCTCTCCTCGGTTTACCACAGTTATTCTCCGCTCAAATGATTATCCCTAACGAGGCGAAAAGAGAGATATACTGGGGTGGAAACACTTTGGTACCTCCTTCCACCTTATACGTATGCTATACTATCCGTTAATAGTCCTTGAAAGTTAAACCACCACTTGAAACACGACCATTATCCCTGGATGAGTGCGTGTGGTGCACGTGCACTTGCGGTTAACTTGCGTTTAACAATTCCTCATGTATAATATCACATTAAACTTACCTCCACTGTCTACCACCAATGTACAATATTCTTCATCCTAACAGGTATCAATAGCTCCAGCAGGTAGTACACAATGATGAGGCAATGTACTTCAGGTTCTCCTGTAACCCTCTTCCTTTCATCGTCCTTATGTATCGTCAATAATTTGTCACATCACTTTGACACTTGTCCTAGATTTCGAGGGATAAATCGAGATGAAGATTATGAATTTTTTAGGTACCAAAAGAGCGAGATTGACCGTCGACTCAATGACCGAAGACGACAGGGATTCGGACTCCGGTGCAGAAGCCAGACCGTCGACAAAATCGAGATCTCGATCACGATCGCGTTCACGGTCTCATTCAGCGAGTCGTACACATGCGAGTGGTTCGAGTGGTCATGGAATGACAAATGAATCGGACTCGTTGATCGGTAGAAAGAGGGAAAATAGTGGTAATGAGACGGACGACGGCAGCCCAGAACCAGGTACACCCAGTCCCACCCACACACCACCCTTGACACCGGCATTGACACCACAGAGGGTTGACACTCCAGCACCAGAAAATTTGAGTTTACGGAAGGCATCGAGCTCCCCTCAAACACCGAATCAAACTATTATGCAGGCGGTGGATCTTGTACAGCCACGACACAGCCCACCGCCGGCTTCCCTAGCTGTAAGTGCAATTAAAACGGGAATTCCCTGGTTATCAATTCAAGATAATAAATGATTTTTAATTTGTGAATTCAGGCAGCAGCAGCAGCCGCTCACTTTTCCCCATATGCACCTCTTTATGGACCAGCGAGTTCCTTGTATTGTTCACCAGCTCTGTATCAACCCCAACACCATCATCACCACTTAACCACCGAGCCCCGAGAGATTCAAATGCAGATGCAAATGCAGATGCAGAATGTTCAAGCGTGTGGCCTCCAAGTTCAACAGCACTCGCAGCAGCAACAGCAGAGATCACCAGTTGATGTTTTATTGAGGGTCTTTCCTGGGAGACGTCGAGCCGATGTCGAGGCCCTTTTGCATCGTTGTAAAGGTAATTGTCTCAATCCATTAATCTCCAATGTTGAATGAAGAATTGATGGTTAATCCATCGAATTGAATTGATGATCGTGTAGGTGATGTTGTCTCAGCGATGGAAGTTTTAGTCTGTGAAGACAGCCTTCAACCAAAATCAGCATTCTCACCTCTAGCTGGTGCACTGGCATCAGCTGCTGCTGCATCAGCTGCTACATCAGCTGGTGCTTATGTATCACGCGGTGGTTATTGCGGTCCCAGTCCACCAACACGTCACAGATTTCTCGCAGCTCCTTACACAGGCACTGGATATCTGCCCACCGTCATAAGACCACCAAATCAGGGAGCACACCCTAATGGCACTGGTGACGCCTACCGGGAAACCAGTCCCGATGATGCAAGCGACAAAACCAGTTACTCCGAGTGACCTACCGAACTCGTTCATCAGATACCCTGGAGCTACCCATAGCCCTGACTGGGTTGACGAATTAGGAATAAAAATGGGAATGAGGGACTTCAGACATCTTTTATTCAGCGAATCATGAGGTCGAGATTCAGCGATTGTTTTCACACTCTAGGTATTACAAATGGAGATCTCTAAATTTTCGAGGAGAATCCCTTGAATTTATTTATCATCACAATATTCACACGCATTAAAATCACTCGATTATTATTTTCATTGATTTTCTAGAGTGTGGAATAACAATTGGGCCTTGAAAGATGTCCAATAACTTTTATGTGTGTAGATATCCACAACTCATAATAAATGAAGAAATAAAAAGACTTAATAGTGTGAACGTAGATAGAATCGTTGATATAAATTCAATAATTGATTAAATAAATTCTAATGAAATATTGAAAATGTAATAGAAGAGACAACACTGTACATAACCGTTCATGATTTTAAGGTAAATTACGTATTATCTAAATTTATTCGGTATATCATCTTGCAATATACATTCAAGAATATAAATATATATATAGATGAAATATAATGTGACAAATTTTTCTTTTTCGATGCATACAATGACACGATAATTATTGAGTTTGAAATGTATTAACATTGAATTTTGAGCACGCGATCGTGCGAAACGATCATCTTGTATAGACCGGAAAACCTCAATAAATCAATCATCGAGCATAAGATATTTAGTTTATTTGTGTCGTTTGAAAATTTCCATCTGTATTCATCCCCTGCCTTCCCAAGACATTCCAATTACAGGGGGTAGATGAAAAAGTACCTGGAGGATGCCCCCTCAAGCGGAAATAATTCATTTCGTGTTCAAATGGCAAAGCGTCCCTCAATTAAGTCGAGAGTATCCGATTTCCGGTGAAAAATCTGGAAAATAAGGGGAATCCCAGGGAATCTGTCCCCACGCCCACTAGAGACCGTCAAGTGAGTGATTTTTCGCTACACATGAGTGGCCAACAATGAAACCCCATAAAAAAAAAAAAAATAACAACTTGTACTTATTGTCGAATGATTACAGATGATTCTCTCTGGGTCAGAGGTGGATGAAAAATTTTGTGGGAAAATTAGAGGGGGCAAATGCTTGAATTAAAAAAGCAGATGGCGTTGAGGCGATGAAAAAATGCGTTATTCATTGATACCCGCTGAAAATCTTTTCTGACAAATTCAATTGTACAGACTATTTGAATGGTATTGCACAGTGGTTTTTGTTTGTGAAATTTCACACACACAGAATAGGAACAATGAACAGTGCGGCATCGATACTCGGTATAATCCTGCATAAAGTTTATATCTCCTATAGTCGACAATGGTTCCTGTTATTAACGAGGTACCGAGGGCTAGTATATCCGTGTGTGTTTATATGCCTGACGGCAATATAGAGACACCCCCTGTTGTGGATAAAGGGGGTGGAGTGATTTGAATATGCGCACTCCTGGAAAATTTCCTAAATTCTCATTCCCTCCTCACCATCCTTGATCCCTTTTCTTTTATATTATATAACCCAGGGTTACACTCTGGGGGTTATATTGTCTGCAATTTGCAGCTCAACGGGGAAACCTAAAGTGGAATGTTAAGCCTCATTTAATTGATATAAGCCAATTGAGTAACTCAAAAGACTTCTCAGTCGCGAAAATTCCTCGGTTTGTTCGGTGTCATTTGATGTCACTGAATATCTCCAAGATATAATAAATATTACAGACAAATCTCAAAATATCTTTTACACGGAATTTTTTCTCTCGTTCTTTTTACTTTAACGAATCACTTGAAATGGAGTATCCGATGAATTCACTTGGACTCTTCAGTCAACATTTCGACTGAATACACCAGTCGGCAACACTTTTCAACTTTTTTTTTCTCTCAATAATAAAAAAAAAAATCGTCACCTGTGTCATTGTACCCCTCACCGAATTGGGGAGTACTACAACAGGTAGGCGGATAGGTAAAAATGAATATATACATTTGACTTTAAAAAATCTGTTGGAGGTTGAGGTGAACACTTGGCAAATATTGATACAGAGTCGCCAGAAAACGTTAAAAGCTAAAGAGCCACCCGTCATCTACCGTTTTATTCATTTCACTAGGAGGCAACAGAAGTTGGAAATAATAAAAAAAAACGTCCAATAAAATTGAGCCAAAAAACGAAATAAAAATAAAAAATGATTTATCATATAATTTCGGGGATTTGTATAAAAATGAATGGAGAATTCAGTGGAAATAGTCGATGAACCGAATGGACAAAATGTGAATAAATTCTCGGTGTCACCCCGAAGAAGCGAATGAGAGTGGAAAGGGCGGAAGAGTGAGTGGAATATTTTCATGGATTTAATTAATATTTCATTTGTATGCTATTTCTCACCCCCCATAACCCACCCCCGTCGATTTTATTCACACAGATATCGTGCGATTGTATTAATAATACACTAGCGTTGGAAAATGGAAATACACACTCCAGTTAACACCGGCAACACGTACACCTCAGTGTATATGTAATTCTCATCTTCGTATACATTATGTAATCATAGAAGTACATTGTCCATGTATTGGTGTGCAATGAGGATGAGGAAGTGAAATAGAATTCCACCTCACCTCGACCTTTCGACTCAGTCTGTATTTCAATTTAGCGCCACCATTGTTTGATACTAATATTATTCACTCGGCGAATTGTTTCCGCAAATTCTCGCTCTCCTTGCACCAGAAATTCTTGGACTGTTTAGACATGCAAGTGAAGTTTTGCAATCAGTCGAATTAAAGGAGTCAGGACAAATCACTCATTTATATTTTCTCACTCACCAAATGGTAATAGTCTTTTTGCTCTCACCGTAAATATACACCGAGTCTGTTGATTTTATTTTTCCGATTCCCTCGCTCTTTCCTACTCTGTTTGGTGTACGATGAGATATAATACGTCGTGTTTGCGTATCCATTAAGGCTTATACAATAACAACACATACTTTCAACGCGCGTGGAGAACTCATTCAGTTGGAGAATCTCTCTGTTTGATTTTGCTGTACGAGATTAAAGTCAACAAGACCTCAGGAATCTACAGATCATTTGAATCATCCGCTCGAATCATTCTCCCCAAATCCAATTCCAATTTTCATCTAAAACCCCAAAAAATTCATTTCAATCCATCGAAAATAGGTGCGTCAATTTTTATTGTGCGTCAGCTGAATTTTTCTCTTCCATTCGTCGAGAAATTTTCATGTTTTTTTTTTGGCATCCCCTGAAACAAATGGCAATAACGGAAGAAGAGGGGCAAAAAAGGGGTTTGCCACCGAAAAGCCATAAAATCGCGGGGTTCACGGATCTGTGTGTTATTTTTTTAGCTAGGCCAAAGGTCTAAAGGGTAGCCAGATATAAGGTATACCATTGCGTTTGACAGAGTAGATATATATACGGGACAATGGATTTTCGATGGACGTTTTCACGGATTTCTTTTTTTTTTGTCCGTGTGGAGGATCAGCGGGGAATCGAACATGAACGGCTTTTGTAAGCCCGACGGGAAACGCGAGTGTCTTTCAACTCTTTTCTCTCACTCAATATATTTTTTTTTTATTATTTTCAGTG